TGCTAGTGCTGGTACATTTGTGCCGGACCCTGATATTCCAATCCAAGTCCAACCATGCAGAAAAACTGCTGAGTTGGCCCGTTTGCGAGCTCTTCAAAGATCCCCATAATTCTCCCAAAGGGAAATGCATGAGTATCATATTGTCCCTGCCTGGCTGGGTTCATGAACATTGAAGATGTACTGGTATGTTGCGAAAGGTGAGCAAATGAGAAATGGTTTGAACAATGGCCAGGAAATTCGTTATATGGTGTGTGGGGCTCCTTGTCAACCCAAAGTGGCATGTCTTTGGTATGAACTTCAAACACAAAAATGGCTGGGGTACTTGGACCTGTATTGGGGCATGTTTCTGATTGACGGAGCTTTTACCCACTGATCCACCATCCAATTTGAATCTGCGAGTAGCATTCCCACCGATGCTAAAATCGAAAGATCTCCTGTACTGTGGAGAGTTGGAAGATCCGAACAGACTTGTATTAATAAACCACCAGTTTGAAAATAAAATGACTATATATATATATATATATATATAACATTGATTTATCATATTGTTGTGGGCATAACCCCAAATAAATAGTAAGGGATTACTAATCCGGGGTTGATTACAAATCATGATCAGAAGTTTGAAACCCTTAAGTTTCAAGGGACCACAGACCCAAGCAACAAATTTAAAGTTATGTGCATCGTACTGCGACTGATTCTCAAGTTTTTGACCCTGCTATTTCCCTCTGGATCCAAGTACCTTAGGGAGGGTTAAGCATACTGCAGAAAATAGTTTTTGGATATAGGCTTTGGTTTTGGCCCCTGCTCTGCTGCACCTCCAGATCGAGGAAGACATTCTTTCCAGTGCAGCCATTTGTGCAGCGTCCTTGTGGGGTGGATTTCGGGCTTGGCTTCAGTGAGAGGAAGGGAATGGGCTCAAAGAAATTCCCACGTAAATGGGAGCTTCGGGAATGCAAGTTTGACGATTCCCACATCAACTCCCATTTCCTGAATCTATCTCATAATATGGGCAAAGATTTGCATTTCCCATTTTGTGGGTTGGACAACTTGTGGATTCCAATTTTGAGTTTCCCAATGTGGGTTCCAAAATTATTTAATTACAGAATTTGGTACCTCAAATTTGGCATTAATTAATATGTAGTGGTTCCAGTTTTCCTAATTTGGGTTCCCGAATTCTGGAAATATTGAATTAGGTGTCCTTTTTTCACAGTTTGGGTTCCCATATTAGTCCCAAATTCTAGAATCTGATTTCCCAAGTTTCCCGCTTTGGGTTCCCATATGCAATTTTCAATTTGGATTTCCATATTTCCCAATTTGGGTTCCCACATTAGTCCCAAATTCTAGAATCTGATTTCCCAAGTTTCCCGATTTGGGTTCCCATATGGTATTGTCGATTTGGATTTCCCTATTTGGGTTCCCAGGTTAGTCCCAAATTCTAGAATCTGATTTCCCAAGTTTCCCGCTTTGGGTTCCCATATGCAATTTTCAATTTGGATTTCCATATTTCCCAATTTGGGTTCCCATGTTAGTCCCAAATTCTAGAATCTGATTTCCCAAGTTTCCCGCTTTGGGTTCCCATATGCAATTTTCAATTTGGACTTCCATATTTCCCAATTTGGGTTCCCATGTTAGTCCCAAATTCTAGAATCTGATTTCCCAAGTTTCCCGCTTTGGGTTCCCATATGCCATTTTCGATTTGGATTTTCGTGTTTCCCAATTTGGGTTCTATATAGTTTCCCATTTTTGGGTGGATTTGCCTAGTGTGGAATGATTTTGTTCCCATATTGTTTAGATGGTCAACGTTAAATTTGCGTTAAAATGCGTTAGAAGACCGTGCTCAGGCACTTCTGAGCGTTAATTTGCGTTAAATTGCGTTAAAATTATTCCCTTGAGAATCCACCTACAAATCAACTGGGTTGGGATAAGTTTCAGCCTAAAAGCATTTGAAATGTGGGATTTCAATCCACATGTGTGCATTCCCTGCAGGAGGCATGTCGGGCAGTAGACCTACTGCGGCCAAATCCATGGCCAAAGCTCCAGCCCCGCAGGCGTGGAAGTTGGAATTGCTTTGAATAGCCAATATTGGATTGATATAGCATGTAGGGTGGGCTCTGTCTAAACAAAATACCACTACTAGGGGCTTAAGCCATAATTCAAATGTAATATCTCAAGGCCAATAGCACATGATCTTGTGAGCTGGATGGCGTATCATGTGGTGATGTTCCAACAGACTAAAAAAGTATTTCATTACCTAGTTACCTGTTGCACCAAAACAGACTAGAAAAGGTTACATCCCAGACATGACCAATAAGGACTTCAATACCCTTACCGTGGAAAATCCAATCGTACCTACTGTTCGGAATGTTTTTGGGTCAAACAAATTTAATCCGATCCCCCTGCAGCTTGCCCAAAAAGCCAAAACACCCTGCTCCTTCCTTGGCCATCACGTAGGCGCCTTTGACCTCAAGGGGGGCCAGTTTCGACTTCGACTCTGAGATGGCGAAGTTGAATGAGCGGTTGCATGTGGCTGAAGGACTACCGAATGATGATGGTGGTGCTGAAAAGGGTTCCTTTTTGAAATTTAAAGACTGGGCCAACTGGGATACAGCATCCGCAATTTTCAATAATGTATATTAATTGCTGTGCGTTCAATTAACACATGACCATTACCACAGTGGAAGTCCATCCACATAGGAAAATATGCAGCCTTCAGCCATATTATGAAAAATATTTTTCTACCATTGATTTGGGCTATTCGTTGCTAGCCTGGTTCCAACTTGCTAAGGTGTGAAGCCAGTTGCAACACCTGTCCGAGCTCCAAAGCCACTCAGAAGACTTGAACCACCGACCGCCTTTACACCTAATCGATCACCTGACATGAAGAAACTGAAGGTTGAAGCAGGTGCTGAGGAGGCGGGTTGGTGACAATATGTGATAACTCTACATATTCAAGCCCCAAAAAGGAAGTAGGAGTCTTTAAAAAAAACATGTGTGGGTCCATTTCACGCACCTTGGGACACTTGGGGAAACAATTAGTCATGAGGTGCTTGGCTCATAGCTGCCCTTCCTGTTCCAGGCGCCCAGACCGAAGCCATCATCAGTGCACTTCCGATCGCCTATGTCAGTGGGCAGCACGTGTGGGGGTGACTTGGGTGACTTGTTTGCAGAGATGACTAGACCTAAGATGGATAGATAGATAGATAGATAGAATGATACAACCATAGGTACATACATATGTGCATATATAAAAACAAAGCATAACACAGCACAGTACTATAATAGAGCAACATTTTATTTTAAAGCAATGCAGAACATAACAGCACATGACATTGCAGTACATATCATTACACTACATTACATACATATGTAAATCAAAACACCCATACATCTATCTATACATCTATACATCTGTGCATCTATACATCTATACATTTATGCATCTATACAACTATACATCTATATATACATACATTGCATACATACATTACATTGCATTACAGCACATTACATTACATACATGACACTACATTACACTACATTGCATTACATTACACTGCATTACGCTACATTACACTACATTACCTTACATTACATTACACTACACTAGGTTACATTACATAATTACATACTATGCATACATACAGCGCAAGACATAACAGAAGTACACGGCATAACACAACATCACATAACAACACATGTCAAAAATACGTGTGCACATGTATACACATACATACACCCATACATCGATGTATCTATATATCTGTGTATATATATATCTATCTATCTATCTATCTATCTATCTATCTATCTATTTATCCAAAGGGTTGAAAAAAAGGGTGCTTCTTCGTGCCCTGCCGGGGATCAGTTCATATGATCGATATTTTCATCTGTATATACAGATCCATTTCTGTGTCTACATCTTAATACATATATATATATAATTATATATTTATATCTATATGGAGTTCCATGGAGGTCTGTTGGGAACATGTTGGGTTCTTTGGTGAGCCATATGGCCTTCCATGGAGGTCTCTGGGAGGGAAAAAACACATCCAACCAAAAGTTTTTTTTGGGGGGGCAATTCTTTGCAGTCCAGAGATCGTCTGGAACTTGATATCTATCTATACTATCTGTCTGTCTGTCTGTCTGTCTGTCTGTCTGTCTGTCTGTCTGTTGTCTGTCTGTCTGTCTGTCTGTCGGTCGGTCGGTCGGTCTGTCTGTCTGTCTGTCTGTCTGTCGTGTCTGTCTGTCTGTCTGTCGTGTCTGTCTGTCTGTCGGTCGGTCGGTCTGTCTGTCTGTCTCTGTCTGTCTGTCTGTCTGTCCGTCCGTCTGTCGGTCGGTCTGTCTGTCTGTCTGTCTGTCTTGCTATCCAGCTTTTTCCTCGGATATGTACATATATGCTATATCATGCATATATATGTACAAATACTCATATACATTACACATCTACAAATGTATATTATACATATATACATATACACACCCACCCACGGCCATCAAGCGGTCGCCCCTGGCTCTTTGGAGCCCAATCTGGTACTTGTCCGGCCAAGTGAGAAGTCGCATGGTATCGATCACATGAGCATCCGAAAAGAACTCCAGTACGTTCAGATGCAACTCTTTGTTGAGGATGCGCCAGCACGGGAGTGTTCCCAGTACCAGTGTTGTGGTCGCATAGGACATGACACATTGGTGACGCAGCATGTCCAATCTTCACCATGAGCTTCTGCTGGGGCTTCAGCATTGCACAATGCAATCAATGTGCAAGCAGCACACACTCAGTCAGATGATCTCTAATTAATACAATTTGGATCAATTTGGTAATGATATGTGTGTTATTGGATATTTACTCATGGGGTTACTTGGCTCTGGTTACACCTTTTTTTCTGGTGGTGCCTAGGTTCTGGATCAACCCCTGCCAGTGCTATGCGTCTAGATTCTGCATCTACTTTGCCCCTTGGAGCGGAATCAATTCCAGATCCGGAGATGGCTTCCCCTACTAGGAACCTTGTTGACTTTGTCTTTGGTGGTGCTGGTATCCCGGCTGGGGTGGTTACTGATGAAGATGTTGCCCAGTCCAAGCCCAAAATCATCGACTGGATTCGCAGCAACACATTGTGCTTAGAAACCATGGATGCAAAGTGTGCAGATGATGTGGAACGTATCGATGTGACTTTGGGAACCATTAGGATCGCCCAGGGTGAACTTGATCAACTTCATGAAGAATTCCGCCATCATTCTGAGAAAATTCACAAAGCCAGGGCGACCATGGTTTCTAAATGGAGAAGTGGGTCAATTGCCTATGGTTCTACTTCTGGCCCCAATCCTTTGGAAGTCAAGATCAAGCAGTTGAATGACTGGGCACTTTCAAAGTTGACAGACGCCCGCAAACCAGTGACCAACAAAGAGACTTTCATCATGAACCTTGACAAGAAATTGGATGGTGAAATTATGTCCCTGATTCGCAGCCTGAAGGGCCCTGAGGATTGTGATCCAGAGTGTGACTTGCTCTTGAAAGAATTGGAGGAAAAGTTCGATGACTTGCATGTTGAACCGTTGGAACCACCAGTGAGTGCTTCCAATGCCCACAGTGCCCTGGAAATGACTGCGCCGACACTTTCCCTTCAAAAATGTATGGAACTAAAGGATGGCCCTGAGAAAAAGGCTTTGTTGGCTGATCTTGAAGCTGCTGTGGCCAATACTGAGGCCCACCTAGTGACAAAAACATTAAATTAATCATGTCTATTTGATCTATCTGATCCCATTGAGGTACACATGTGAACAGCAGTAGTGCCTTAAACAATCCCTGCAGGGCTCTCATGCTGAACCTGGCTCATTGAACGAGTTGCCTCCGGCTGTTCCAGCTCAAGAAGCCCTTGATGAGTTTCCTGGCACCGTTGCAGATGCTTTGAAGCGAAAGGACACTACGCAGTTGGAGGTGGATTAGGGATTAAAAATAACAAGCCATCATCATCATAGGGGGAGGTATAAGTTGCCATTCTCTGTTTATTTTGTTCCTATCATATATATATATGTATATGGGTATGTTTCAAAATGAGGTGCCCTTTTTGGCCCCCAAAAAAAAACCTGCCAGGGGTAATTTTTTGGGATGGCTTTTGTCCCGCAAAATGTTTGCTTTAAAGAGGAGAAAAGGGCACCTCAATTTGAGACATACCCAATATATATATTCAAACAGAAAAACATTGTCTTGCACACTCCATCTTACCATAAAAAGCGGGATGTTGCCATCTTGGACCCATATGGTAATTGTTCGGGCTGGCTGTGTTGCCAGGTGGATCGTGTGAAAGCTCTGCATGAACAGTACCGCGATGACAAGGATGCTGTGTTGACCCCAACAGGTGTCCACTTCATTGGACCAGGGGGGCGAGTGGAAAACGAGGCAGAGCATTGCGCCAGATTGGCACACAATTGCAGGATGAGATTTAATCGAAGCTTCACAGGTCTGGGAATTCAAAACTGATGAAATTTGCTGATCAATCTGGGTGCCCTTTTCCTGACATGTTTGTTCTTTTTCCCAACAAAAGGGTCGCCTCTGAACACTGCACTATTATTATTTTAGTGATTCATGTTTCTTTGGTAGGTTGTATTATATGAAAAAGGGTATCCCAAATTTACCTATTTGTTTTTATGTAGATTTGGTCATAACCCAGTTAATGTCCATTGTGGCGCAGTATGCCCATAGAATCCAGCATGACGCCCACGAGCCCCATTCAGGACCGTCTTGCCCGCCTCAAATATTGGACCTGTACAACTCCAGGAAGGGCAGTTCCTTGGTGTATTTGTGGGCAGGGGTGGGTCATGGCATGTGGCAAACTAGGGCAAGTTCGATCATGTTCAAAGTTGGAAACATCAACAGCATTTCCAGTTTGAAGTTGCACATGCGCAAATTGAAGCATAGTGGCTTCAAGCTGAAGAGCACTATCCATCCCTTTCCTCAATGTAGGTTGCTCTGCTTGAGGTGCCACTGTTAAATTTTCTTGTCATGTTGATTGGGCCCCCACATGGCCCTAGCCACTGTTTAAATCTTTGACCTTTGTTTTTACCAATGTCAGTATGTTTAGATATATGTGCATATATATATATATTGTTTCTTGCGGTTCCAATCCCCCAATGTGAAACAATGTGATAGGTGTATCAAATTTCCCGAGCCCCTGGATTTTTTGGATTCATGTCCCCAAGTTAAACGTTGGTTATGAAGCCCATTAATCATAATTATATCAGTGTCGTCAACCAGTACTAGTGTTATTGAAGCTATAAACCAACTTAGCTATTGTGGGGGCGGGCCACATTGTAGTTGGAATATGCCTATGTCGAGATATAAATGTTTGTTATACATCAAAATACAGTAAATCAATTGGAACTTATATTGATAAATGGCTTATTGTACAATGGTTAACTTCTGGTGTCATCAAAGGTGGCAATTGAACACTGGAGGTTCGAGTGGGCACATCATCTATTAATTGAAAGGATTTTTTTCCATCTAGCCATGTTTGATTAAAGGAAGGTATATTTCGATTGTATAAAAAATATATCTTGGGATTTAACCAATAACCATCCAATTGACACTGAAAAAAGGGATTCAACTATCAACACTTGGGACCAAACCAACAAAGATAGTGCGCAGTATAGCGGGACTTGAAAGTTTGGATGCAATATGTTACCTGTATGTATGCAACTGTTGTGTGATGTCATAGCTGCTGCGATGGGTCACACAATCCATTGATGCCTCTTGGCTCGCCAAGGCCGAGACAAGATTGTTGAAACCCTCTTTGAGGACTATGTGCAAGCCAATGAAGATTGGATGAGGTCGGCATTGTTGGTGCAATTGACCCAGTCATCAACCCAGCGCCGGCGTGGCAAACATGTCATGATGCCCTTCAGAGATGTCCGTAGCAAGTTTGGGGCAGCACTAGCTCAACAGATATTGGCTGACAAAAAGGCCTTACAAAACAACAAAAGCCCTGCAGACCCCAATACGTACTTTATGGCCCATCCAGAAGCCAAGGATGATGAGGAATCCCATCTGAATTTCTTTAGTTTTGGGCTTTGGGTTTCCACATACTTAATGCTTTTGATACAGTTGTTAAAGATGTGGATGATAATATATATGATTTCCATATCCAACAGGGCTTGTATCCAACCAGGGCTTATACAAAACCTAGGGTGTTGTTATCCTCTTGCTCCCACAGGGGTCAAACAATGAATCTAGGATTGGAGCCTTCTGCGTGTCTGGGATGCCCTGGAATTTGAAGACGAGAATGAAGAGTCAATCTCAACAGCTTTGCATGCTACCGGTGATATCGATGAACAAAATTCGAAAGAACTTTTGCAACTTGTTAGCCTAGCAGCATTTATTTTTCATTTTTCGAATACAATATTGCTTCAAACATAAATACTATACATATATACACAAAATACTACAATTTATGTTTGAAGTTATGAAATGTTGTGGAAACAAAACAAGGCTGTTTCCCACCCAACCGCGGCTATGATGCTACCCAGTATCAGGAAAAATGCGATGCTGCCAGGGATGCAGAAGCTCAAGTCCTTGCCATGGCTGCAGGGGGGTGTCCAAAGTCAGGGTTTGGGGTCTGGTGCAGGGAATGGAGTGGATGCTGGCTTACTTCCTGATCGCAATCAACCTCCGAAGAAGACTAAGCCTCCGAAAACTATCAGTAAACAAATGACGGGGTGCATATCCCAATGCAGTTCAAAGATGACAGAAATTCTTTCGTGGCAAGCCAAGCTGGCTGAGAACAAGACTGGATTGATTCTTGCAAAAAAAAACGTTCTTTATTCTTTACCTCAATCCCAAGGGGTGTACTTACCTGCTAATAATTTTGACCACAAGTCTCATCCCCTGAGGATAGCCACTGGTAGTTGGATCCATAAGGATTTGTTTTTGATCCAGCCTATTTGTTGACAATCTTCCACTTCGGGAACCATTATACATCATAATGGTGATCCCAAATTTTCTGCAAAGATTATGTATATTAAAAATCATATCCCTGTCATTTTAGTGAATTAGTGTTTTTACCATAGTGCCATAGGGGATCTGTTGTCACACTGAGGACGACTGAGTTGCTTGAGGGGTTCAAGAAGGAGTTGCAAGGGCGATTGGATACACTTCAAAAGTCCAGATCAGAATTGGAGCAACTCTTCGCCCAACGACTCGACGATGTCCAGATTGAGATGCCAGAACATGGTGACTTCAAACAGAAGGTTTTGGTCGCGATTCGAAACTGTGAATCAGCATTTACTTCCTATGCAGGGAGTGTGCGTTCCATCAAAGCTGTTATCGACACCCTCCTTCAGTAGTATCACGTTTTTTCATGTTATCTATTCCAGGTTGGAGTATTGCTGTTATTGTTGGTAGCAACCTGATCTTAATGGAGAATCTTTGCTAACACCCAACCAAAAAAAAAAAGTAAAAGATCTTATATGGTGCCAAAGCCGGTTGGTTTCCCAGGAACCGGCGAAAAAGCAGGCCAAGGCCAAGTCGAAACCATCCCCCAATGGTCCTCCTGGTGATGTGCAAAATCATGGTCATCATGATGGGGAGCCTGCGACGTGAGCGGATGTGACCTTGTGGATGGGTAGATTAGGGCGATCCTTAACATACCCGGAGTGCTGTCTTAGCATTTAAAGGACTGACCGATCTATATACATACATAGCTTTATTTAACTATATACTAGATAGATTGAAGTTATCAAATTTCCATTGCAGTAAAATTCTGAGAATTGCTGAGCTGCTGAACCTTAGTGCTGATAAGGGTTGGACCCCGTGCTATGCAGCACCACACTTTTGATATCACATGCTGCCGTGAGAAGCAACATCTTGGGGAGGAAAAAATGTTTCTGGCTTGCATGTGGTAGGGGTTTGGGGTTTGGTGCCAGGCCTTAGCCATGGACAGGTTTGTTTCCAACCATGATGTGAAATTTGAGACTATCTTGGTCATGAAACACAATGAAAAGACATGAAAGATGCATGATACCCCAGGATATCCAATCCAAGCGAACTACCCTGTTCAGATAGCTGAACGTTTTTCCCATGCGCAGGTGCTGTGCTGAAAAAGACAAAGACAACATCACCACTGTACTCATTCCTGCTGAAAGAAGCTGGTTTGGGTGATTCTTGGCTAATTTTTTGCATGTTCCTGTACATGTCAGTTCAAGAAGGAACACCCATTCAGAAACATACACCCATATATATATATATATGTATACACAGATAGGTAGATAGATAGATAGATAGATAGACAGATGGATAGATAGATAGATAGATATATATATAATATCCAACATGTTCCTGTATATCTCTTTCAATTTTTGTGGCCATGTTAACATTTCGAATAAGGAAAGCTCGTTTAGAAAGACGCAAACTTTGATGCACTATGTCAACAAGGACTTGTAGAACCAAGGGGGTTGTGAGGGGACCCGGCAATGTTGAGTAGGTTTTCCCAGTTAAGATTCTATCTCATATTGGGGAAACATTTGTATAATTAATAGATATATTAATATTAAACATATAAAAATACAGATTTCAGGTGTTTATCCGGGGCAGTCTTGAGCAATCCAGTCAACTTTGTGTTTAGTGGTTCAACCTGGCTACCCAAAGCATGTGTGAAACCCCCTTGGTCATGCTTCCAGCAGGAGTTCGAGATGCATGGTGTGTCACTACAGGGGCCATGCCGATCTTTAGCAACAGCTGGGTGTGATGGAAAATTCTCATCGAATGTCCAGCGTGACATCTTGAGGCGGGTTTCGAAACATGACCCTGACGAGGCTTGGCAGAACAGCTGCTGAATCAGCCTTGGTGTCAAGTGAAACCGGATTTTAGGTCTGTGAGCACCATGTGATATGTACTTAAATAATAAAATAACATCTTCAATCTGGCATATCTGTTCTATATATATATACACATATGCCCGAAACCCATTGAGCAAGGTAGGACCCCCAGTGAGTAAGTCCATGTACCTTCATCTGGTTGTAGTACTAGCATATACACCAATCTACTTAACCACTTGCCCAGTTTTCCCTCTTTGAAAAGCGTGCCTCTGCAACAGGTGCCAATCGATTGGGTTGAAGCTCCTGTCCAGAAACAGCGTGGTCCCAATGGTGTCGAGATGAGGACTGTTCAGCCATGTTTTGGATCACTCATGAGCGTGGACGATCAAAAGTCCCCAGACCCTGCTCCATGTTGTGTAACTCTGCCTAAAAGCAGCAGTGCCATATCATTCATATATATATATATATATATATCTCTCTCTCTCTCTCATATACCCAGGAAAATCCCACTTGTTCTTCCACATGATTTGGTCATGAAGATGCCCCTCATCAGCGACTCTGAGATCAAAGAGTACTGGGATCACCTATCTGCCTGCAACAGCCCTCTAGCAAAGGTCAGTGAAACAAAGACCCATTACCCCCTCTGGATCTGGGGTGATGAGGCCCAGTACCGGGAATCGGGAGATGAGGTGTTACTGATCAGCTTGGGTGCGGTTCTGGACCAGCGAAAATATAGTGTTGAAGCATGCTTTCCCATCTGCGTTGTGCGGACAGAAGCTAGCCTTGGTCAGGCCTACGATGTCAAGTTTTCTTTGGGATGAAATCTAACCTGATATGGTGTTCGTGCTTGTGGCTTTTCCCCAAACTGAACATGTAGAATAGCTGATCAAAAAGTCTTTCCCAAGTTCAATAGAACTAGCTATTGTTTTTCACTGTTTGCTGAAGCCCTGGTCAGACTAGGAACTGAAGGTGGGTTTCTCAACAGTTTTTGCCATCTTGGAGGCTGTGACTTGCAAGATTCTTTGAGTCACCAGTTTTGAATCTTGAAAGATGTGTTGGGTACAGTTCGCTCACTTTTCCCCAAAAAAATCAAGACACCCAGAAGCTTAGCGCCTGTTGTCCCCCTCAGGTAGTCCAGTCCTTGCAGATGTTGTACAGGGACGGTGTGGAGATGCCTGACGGGAAGAGGAGACACTTTGCAGTCTGTGAAATCCGTGGAGACTGGAAGTGGCAAGCTGACGCTGGTCAATGCTTTTAGATATTAAATGAAACAGATTGCCAAACCCCTCAATACAATCAGTCTGCATACTTGCGTATGGGTAGTGATTGGTTCCACCTCAGGAATGGCTCCAACTCTCTTCTTATTATTTGTCCAACCAAATATGTCATGCTTGCCGAGCCAGAGTACCATCCTACGTTACTGCACCCTCGCAATTGGCTGCCCAATTCCGACACACCACTGAATCTTTTCTGGTTGAATCCTGCAAGGGAGGTGATCACACCAGACTCTTGGTTTCTACATGTTGTATCCTTTCCAATCGATTTTTTCTGAAGTGGTTAAATCATCTCGTATTTTGAAATCCAAGGGGAAACCATTTTATGTGGCAGCCCAGGTCCACTGGTGAATTTGCCATGCTTCAAAATTGAGATGATTCGTTGGGACGGAATGCATACAATCAATCTTGGCATTGACTTGTGGATTGCTGGGTCTGTCATGAGGAAGCTCTTGCAATATGATGTGTGGGGAGGACTGGACATGGATGAAGGGGACCGCCTTCTCCTTGCATACGACTGTTTCAAGGGCTTTTGCAGGACCCACAAAATACAGTAGCTTGTCCAGAATGTCAATGATGTCCTTAATTTACCCTAAATAGTGCCCATGCAAGCGGTGATTTTGGTGATTTCCTTCAAAAAAAGTATAAACACATATGTTCTCCTCTTTGAAGGATCTGCTCTCATATTGAGGCATAGTATGCCTCGATTTCGTCCCTGGCGTCTGAAGAGCAAGCAGCATCCATATCCGGAATTACAGAGCAAGGCTTGGAATGTGACTTGGATCAAAATTACCATGTGACCCCAAGCCATGTCGCATATTCAAGAAGGGGTTCATCATGCCTAAAATTGTATAGTATAGTACCATCAGGTTATCACTTTTCTGCAGGCCCAAGAACACCATGAGAAAACACCTTTCCCATCCCAGGGCCTGTCATCTCTGCTGGGCTGAGGCCAGGTGCGTTGTTGCATGGCTCTGTGATGAAGTGGTGGGTTTGGCGAATGGTGCATACAGGGATGACTGGATTCCCCTTCTTGCTTCTTGCACGTGGCTTGTTCTATGTTTTGGAGTGGAAGTTTGTTATTAATATTTTATATGATTATTAGGTAGCCAAGTTCTGGTTAATCAGGGTTTGATCACCACCCTATCCATCCGAACATATGTTTCCCATGTCGTGCACAACCTGCTCGATTCCAGAAAATGGGCCTGCCCAAAAACCATGCTCATTCAGCGCACCCATTATAATGAAGAATCACCAGTGATCCAATAATGTTTGTTTATCAACAAAACTGAGGTGGCATATAGCAGAGTGGCATCGCAATGTGGAGATGATGCCCCGGTACCTATCGAATGACCAAGCAATGTTCCTTCAAGATCTCTGCGATGGGTGCGTAAGTTTCTACTTGAAACTTGCAAGTATGGCGATCGAAAGTGGGGAGTTGTTGTTCCCTGTGCGGCCAAAAATTCATGCAACTCAACAGGACATGTTTGATGATTTTTAGTGATCTTTTCCCTGGAGGTAAGATGAATTCGTTCAAAAAAAAGAAGGGTTGAAACAAATTGTGCTATGTATGTTTGTTGTTTGATCAAGCTTGTTAGGCATATCAGGAGCTGGCTTACATCCAAACCATGGACCGTGTCTGTGCCAAATCTATGCATTTTTTTGTGCGTTCATCCCTTGAATTGTGCAAGCTGGGGCAATTGGGTAAAGCCCACCCTAAACATAAACAATGTTTCTTCTTGTGGCTGATTTTGCAACAACCAGGTCTCAACCACAGATTTTTCGCGGGTTACAAGCCTGAAGATTTTATCGGAAAAATTGCAATTGTTGCATCAGCTGGCAACAATGAGAACTGCGAATATATTGCGCTGAAAAGGTTTTATCTGGGGTCTCCAGCTTTTGGTTTAGCATTTTTTGGTGTTTTATTCTCTATTTCTCACCTGCCAGGTGAGGGTTGTTAGATTTTATCAGAGCTGTTCTCCTCATCCTCCTCCTCCGCCTCGTCCTCCTCCTCCTCCTTCCTCCTCCGCCTCGTCCTCCTCCTCCTCCTCCTCCTCTTCCTCCTTCCGCCTCCACCTCCTCCTCCGCGTCCTCCTCCTCTTCTACCACCTCTGCCTCCACTTCCGCTCTTCGCCAACTTCGGAGCTCAGTGCGCACTGCTGGACCTCAACCTGGGACCTTCCCAGCTCAGTGCGCACCACTGGACCTCAACCTGTAGCTCAGTGCGCCCTGCTGGACCTCAACCTGGGACCTGCCTAGCTCAGTGCGCACCGCTGGACCTCAACCTGGGGCCTTCCGAGCTCAGTGCGCACCGCTGGACCTCAAAGGCCAGATAGAATGCCAGAAGATATGCCAGATAGAATGTCAGATAGAATGCGAGAAGATATGCCAGATAAAATGCCATAAGATATGCCAGATAGAGTGCCAGGAGATATGCCAGATAGAATGTTAGAAGATATGCCAGATAGAGTGCCAGGAGATATGCCAGATAGAATGTTAGAAGATATGCCAGATAGAATGCCAGAAGATATGCCAGATAAAGTGCCAGAATGTTTGCCAGATAGAATGCCAGAAGATTTGAGTAGATAATATGCCAGAAGATATGCCAGATAGAATGCCAGAAGATATGCCAGATAGAATGCCAGATAGAATGCCAGAAGATATGTCAGATAGAATGCCAGAAGATTTGCCAGTAACACAATGTATAAATGTCATGGTGGGGATCACACGAAGTAAAGTTTTTTTTAGTGAACAATGTTGTCTTTCTCCATATATAGCCACAACTGCTGAAGGCAAAAGTGCCATGCAGAACTTGGTGAGATCTCTGACCAGGAAAGTGATTGAGCCGTGTGCTTTTGGAAATTCGAAATTCATACCCACAGATCAGGCTATAGATTCTCCCATCTTAGTTCCACTTTGAAACCAGATAATTGATTACAAAACAACGCATGTCTGATGTGTGTGCTCTTGGAGCAGCTGCAATTATCTGCAACTTTCACACGTATGGTTCAAAAAGTCATGTGTGCCAGCTGCTGTATTCCCCATTTGGTCTGGGTGAGGCATGGGAAGCGGCGAGGATCTGTGCAGAGTGCATGGGTGGCTTCAGTTCAAGGTTCCCATAAATGCCACTTTTCCCTGAGCATGGTTTTTGGGCAGGCCCATTTTTTGGAATCAATCAGCATGTGCGCGACATGGGAAACATATGTTCAGCATGTGTCTGGGAGCCCCTGGGTATATATGTATATATATATATATTGATGGATTGGGGCTATATACTCATGGATTCTGAGTAACAATCATTGACCCGCTCCCAATCGGGCGATCCTTAGGATCAAAAATGATCAAAAAAACACCAATTTTTCAGGTGGAATCTTCCCAACGTAAAATGAATTTCGAATGAACAGGGACTCCACTGTCAAAAAAAAAATGGCCATGGGCAGAATGAGTCAGCCGCTACCAGTAGTTACAGGTGGCAAAATTGGAATGTCCATTGCCGGATTTTTGCAAAAGGTCGATTGGGGATCTCCAACGTCCCACAACTGTGATATGTTTCTGACCGTTTTTGCTTTTTGACCCTCCTCAAAACTATTGACTCGATTTTGGACCAGATGGTTCATCAGGTGCCGCACCTGCTCTCCAACTGCAAAGCATCTGCTTTGGGAAAGCCCCCCATGCCCTGCCAAGACACACCAGCGCTCGTGTTTCTGGGTGTTGATGTGTTTCGCTTCTAAAAATGTTGAGAAATGCCACCACTTAGTCGTTCATTTGGCGGTTTCCTAGAATGGCTGGTATCCCCAAGCTTAGTAGGATTGTCCTTTATAAACCATCCAGCTATTGGGGTAACCATCCATTTATGGCAACCCCCCATTCTTCACAGATTCTGTGGGGAATCTCCAGCCTGACGGCCCACGGGCCCCACGGGCTCAGACCTGGCTGCAGACAAGGCTGGTTGAACAATAGCAAGGAAGCTGCTACATGTGGTATGAACGGTATGAACTACCATCTGGTTGTTTAACAGTTTGCCATGGCAAATCACCATTTTTAAGTTCGGTAAACCATCTATTTCTATGGGCCATCTATACCATGGCTATGTTAGTCATAACCAGAGGGTACAAAAATTCATGCGTAAAAGGAAACAAAGCAAACATTTGGTGCAAGATCTGGCCCTCTGCCCAGCCCCAACTCCAGCCAGCGCACGGATGAAACATAGAGGAGTCATACCTGCGATGTTTCCCAATGAAGTGGGTTGAATCCGCATCCTCTTGGCAAACTTTAGATACTTCAGATGTCCCACACAAATATGCGTTTAAAATGGAAAATTGATATAATTTTGAATGGGATATCATCATATCTCTCCTTGGTTCTACCTTTTTTACTCACCAAATCAGCCCAGCACCTCCCCAGCGGTCGGCCAGCAGCCATTCGACTGGCATAGTCCTCGCGCCTGCATAAATGTCTAACTCGGTCAGGAGACACATCTCCCATGTTTTTTTTGTCAATCAATGGCCGATTTACTTCAGGGAATATCGGAATTTCTCCCCACAAAATATGGCCAACAATATGGTACAGTCAGTACCACCAATCTGTTGTGTTAGTCAATCAATGGCCTAAATTTCAGGGAATATCCCCACAATTCATATGGCCAACAATATGGTACTAACGTACCTCCAATCTGTTGGATCCTTTTTTATTCCCATTGAGTCAATGTCAGCCTCTCGGGCCGGGCTCCCAAAGTCGTAGCTGAGGCGGCACGCCTCCGGGCCATTTTTGAAACGTTTAACGGACTTAGAAAACGTGTTTAATATGTACATGTATAGACACTGGATATTGTTGGATGTTAGATATTAGAAAAATATCATCATTAAAAGACAGTAGATATTGGATATTGGATATCGGGTACTGGATATCATATGTGTATATAGTGCAGATATATATATATATATAGAGATAACATAAGATTACTATCCATGGAGATCGAACCCATGAGAAAGAGGGATCTGACCCTTGGATATACGCCCGAGTTTGTACAGAGATGGGATATACTCAAATGATCTCAAATGCACGGGCATCAAAAACGGAACATGAGGAAAGCCAATGCATTTGCGGGTCCATATGATTGAAACCCGTATGAACCGACAAAAAACTGGGAAGAATCCACCAGAGTTACATATCAACTGCTTGGCAGTTGAGGCACCCGCGATACTGCTAGGATAGAATATGAAGCATCTTGGAAAACCACGAAGCCTGATGAGCCCCTAGCTGGTTAGTGCCCAACATTGCCAGTATCTCAAATGTTCATGTAGATATGACTCCCCTACCCTCTGGTAGTTTAACGTAGCTATGGAAAATGACCATTAATAGTGAGTTTTCCCATTAAAAATGGTGATTTTCAATAGCTATGTTAGTTTACCAGGGGGTAAATTCAATGATTTCAACCATTTTCCCAATATTTTCCCTACTGCAATGGAGTTTTGTGGACTTCCCCATGTCTGGAAGTCCAGCCAAGCTTAGAAAAGCCACGATTAGAGAAGACTCACGGCTCGCCTCATGGCTCGAGGGTCGTAGGCCGCCTGGCAACGAAAAAGGATCTCTTCAGAAACCTGGGGATGTCTCAAGTTCTGGTGATATTGTGAACATAAAATGTGCCAGGGTCAAAACTCAGTAGGTAGGGTATGGTCATCCCATTATAATAGGGTTCCTTTTTAATGGTTGTTATAATTACCTATTAACCATTGGATGACCATCCCCTATTAATGGTTAATAATACCCAGTATTGACCATTGCTCATATAGGGTTTTACATTAGGTGAATTGTATGGATTAAGGTACTTCATGATATTTTCATCTAGAAATAACATGGGAAAAAAATTAGAGACAGTAAATGTGCTGTTAATAGTGACAGCCAGAACTGTTTGATTGAAGTGTGGGTCAAACATGGGCATAATTGTTGAACCCTGAGCCATGGCTTTGCACCGCTAATCATGCCTGCAAATACCGTCCTTGTATTCACACAAACCCATGTGCATATGCGAATCTACATGGCTTTGTCACCAGAAATCCATCAAAATCCATTGGTCCACATCATTGGTCCACTTTTTTCCTGTAAAACCCTTTGCCACAATCAGGGTATATCATATATCCCTCTGTCAGACCCTCTTTCCATGGCCTGAACTTGTGCACTTCGTCTGGCGCGAGCATTGCCATCACCTAGCGAAGTCGGTACCCTCAAGCTGTTCTTGTCCAGTATTTGTGTACAGTATATATGTATGTACATATGTACATATGTACATATGTATGTGTATATATATATATATATAATTGTATGTAATTGTATATAATTGTATATAATTGTAT